CCCGCTGCGAGCCCAGGAGCCTGGCGTGGCCGCGCTGCGCGTTTTGCCTGCCCCAGCTCTGGCCTGAGTGTCACGGGAGAGAGAGCGAGCGGCCTCTGCTCCCCGTGCGGGAGGAGCCCGCTGCCCTTGCGGCCACCCGGAGCAATCTGCCTCCGTCGCGCAGAGTAACCTGGAGACTGACGCGAACGGAGCCGCGATGCTGCCGCTTCTCCCCGTGATGCGGAGGGATGAGATGTCGGCTCAGTGCTAATTGTTTGTCACGAGCGCCGATGGCTGCTCGTCCGCTCTCAGGTCCTGCTGCGCTGTGCCGGACCCCGAGCCCTGTGGGTTGGTCCTGCCTTGCCCTGCCCGGTGTGAGCGGTCCACAGACACGTCACTGGGCCAGCTGTGCTGAAGGACCCGCAGCGTACAAGGGGTGACCAGCCTGGGTGTCCCTGGGGCCTCGTGAAACCTCGGAGGCCGTCACCCAGCTCACAGCTTGTGCTGCCGTCGCTGCTGTGCTGGTGGGGAAGGTGGTGATTTCGTGTGTCCCAGCATCTGTCTCCGGTCCGCAGAACCACTTGGGGCTGTCGAGGAAGGGCTGGGGCAGGCAGAGCCCCCGGAGCAAAGCCCTGGCCCCAGGGAGGCGGTGAGCAGCTCCCCGGGCTCCTGCCCTTGTCAGCTGGAGCAGCCCTGGGCTGTGCGCACGCCAGGCCGGCGGCTCTCGGGGCTTCCCACCGGCACAGCCAGCAGAAGTGGGTGCTTGGCGTCACAAGGGAGGGGGGACTTTGGAGGGGCAGGCGGTGCTTCTCGCATGGCGTGGCGTGCCGAGCTGCACAGCGTGTCTGCCCCTCCGCCGCAGGGCCGAGCGAAGCCGAAGCAGGCGTGCCTTGCACCTGCGCCTGAACCCCGGCTGTGCTGCTGTGTCTGTGCAGCCCAGGCCTGAGTCCTCCGCTGTGCTTCCAGCTCTAAATGGCGAGACAGGGTGAGGAATGTTCCTCTACCGAGAGCAGACTTGCAGGCACGTGCAGAGGGTGCAGGCTGCCCCGGGGACAGGCTGCCCCTTCCAGGTGTGACTAGAGAGCCCATGGAAGAGGGGTGGGACGGGCTGTACAGGTCGTGTAAACATGCTCCCGCACATTTTCTTTGTCCTTTATGGGAGGACCTCTGCAGCCCACCCGTGGGGACCCAGGGGCTGCCCATAAGCCCAGCTGGTTTGGAGGGAGGAACCAGGAGGCCCCATGTGTGCCTGTGGAAGGGTTCCCGTGGTGAGATGGGGACCCGTAAGTCCTTGGGGGTGTCAGAGGAGCTCACTTCTGTCCTGCTGGGAAAAGATGGAGAGCAAGCAATACCTGGTCTTGCTCGTAGAGCAAGCGTGTTTCACGTTCTGCCCCTGCCCCACTGCAGTCCCATTCCCATCCCCTGGTGGGCCCTGGAAGCCCCCAGCTCTGCGGCCTTAGCTGCTGGGTGGTAAGAAGAGCAGGGACGTGGGCGATCTCTGCTCCACAGAGTGGAGGGTGTCAGGCTCACCACAGCCTGCAGGCGTGTTGGTGGGAGCTGCAGAAAGGCACGAACCCTCCTGCTGAGCCTGGAGGGGGGCAGGATCTGGCCATGCATGGTTTGGCCTGGAGAGGCGTCCTGGTGAGCAGGTGGGCAGCAGAGGTAGGCTGGAGGCACCATGTGTAGCCTCAGACAAGAAAGTTCAGGTCCCCTGTGACGCCCAGGCTGGGAGATGAAGGTGCCTCACACCTGCTCTGAGCGTAGTCCTGTTGAACAGTATCAGTAAGCTATGAAGCTGATTTTATTAGATTTATCTCTCTTAATTGTCAGGGGTGAACTACTGCCCTGTGGATAAATAGCAGCAGAAACACCCGACTAGTACATGCCAAATGCAGAAGAAACCAGAGATGGAAGAGCTCTGATGCCATGTCCTCTCCCAGCCTTGCAAGGGGGACACCAGCTGCACACTGGACCTCTGCATGGGGCAGCTCCTGGCCGCTGCCTGTAGCCCTCTTCATCCCACTGTTGGTCATTTGTCTTGCCACACAGAGACAGACCAAGCCCCAGTGAGCCTGTCTGACTGAACCAGGCTGAAACAGGCGAGCAGAGGCCAGGCTGGAGTGGGAGAATGGCTTGCCAAGTCACAGGCAGTCCCCATGGCTGGAGGGTGCTGCCCTTCTTAGACACTGAGATTGCTTTCTTAATTTCAGGTGCCACGAAACAGGGAAATGGGAGGTGAGGACTTGATGGGAGACACTGGGTTGTTGCGAAGGGGACGGCAAGCTGCCCAGGACAGGAGCGGGCTGGGAGCGGAGCTGCCATATGTGCCCTGTGGGTGGGTGGACACTGGAGAGGCAGGAGTGCATTTCGGAGAGGGTTAACAGTGCAGCGAGGGCTCCTGCGCCTCGTTGCCTTCCCCGGAGTCTGCATTTTTATGCTGATTGGAAGCCTGCGCTGTGTGTGCTGCTGAAATTGAATGTCAGGCTTTTGATTTTGTTGCTGGTCTCTAATGAAATTTGACATTTAATGGTGAGTGCAGCGGCAGCGTGTGTGTGTGTGATCGGAGCTTGATTAGCGCGCTCTAATTGACAGTAATTAGGCAGCTCCCTGATTGTTTCTAATTCTGCTATTAATTGTAAGGAACAGTATGATTGAGGATAAATTTGGTGCGTTGCTGCTGGGGATGCAGCTTCTTCAGCTCCGTATCGGAAGCCTATTGAGACCATCATGCTTAGGTTCCTAAGTGTGGCAACCCCAGTCACCTCGTCTGGCAGAGCGGTGCCGTGGGGGATCGATGCTTCCACAGCGGCACTGCAGATCCCAGGGCCTGGGTCTGCACCTCGGCGGGGCAAGAGCACCTCCTGGAACTGTCCCTTCCCAAAACGCACACATCGCCCTGCGATGAGGACACTGCAGTGAGCAGTCCGCACGGGGACATGTGCTGAGGGGTTGGTGTGTCAGGCTGCCCCCAGCGATGACACTGTGCTTGTCCCAGCTGCGTAGATGCCAGCGCTGCCTCTTGTGCGATCGTCCCGGATGAATCCTGGTGCAGAGCATGCCCAGCCTGCCCCTGCCCAAGGAGCCTGCCAGCCCTGAGCTGGACCGGGAGTCAGAGCTGCCCCGTGCGATGGGGCTGAGCATGGGTGCTGTCTCATCTTGTGGGGCTGTGCATTTTGAGCCAGGCAGAGCACTGGGGCTGCCTCCAGGACATTTGGTTGTCTCTAGAAAGAGCACACTCACTGTCTCACATCACTTTCTTTATCTCTGTTCCCAGCTAATGGTACTGCCGATTCTCTCAGCTCCAGCCCGAACATTTCCAGTGCTGCCAGCCCGAAGCTGGAGCCGCCTCCGTCACCGCATGCGAACAGGAAGAAGCACCGCAGGAAAAAGAGCACAGGGACGACTCGGCCTGATGGCCCCAGCGCAGCAGCAGAAGGTAGGAAAGGTCTTCTGCCTGGGGGGCGGCTCTGCGAGCTCAGAGCACTAGGCACCCAGGAGTCCTGCAGGGCTCATCAGGTCCTGGGGCTTGGAGCGCTCCTCGTCCCAGCCAGCTTGTGCTTAGGCAGGAGGGAGCAACCAGTCCCTCTTGATCCGCCCTTGGCTGCATGTACTATTAGTAGTAATAACTACTAACTATTAGCAGAGCTGAGAGCACACCACGTAGTTAAGGCGTACTTAACTATGCTTAAGGTGTGCAGACACTTTCTACCACAAGAAAGAGCCTATTTCTGTTGGCTTGTAAATTTGCGAAACTTTAATCATTTAAAAGACCTATGCTGGCCATCTGCCTCAAGCTGAGGGTCTTTTGGAACAGTTTATCTGCTTCAGGAAACCAGTTGAAGATATGTACACTGCTTTGCTATGCTAAAAGTACTGATGGTTTTTCTCTTGAGAAATTTTGGTGTCTTTGTGGTTTATGAAGAGGGACCTAAAGCTTGGTGGGGAGCCTGCAAGGCATAGAGAAGTGCATTTTGCTGTGAAAAGCCGTCCGCATTTTTCCAGGTAGAGGTTAGCTTAGCAACCACGTTCTCCAAAGCCTGCATCTGTCGTTAGCCTCTGTGGAAAAAGTGGTTCTCAGTCCTAAAGATTTGACTTTATCATAGGTCATCCTGTCCCACAGCACTCAATAAGCTTCTGTAGTAAACCAAAATAAAGATTTGATTCAGATGGCTAAAGGCAGGGAGAGAGGGGTTAAGTACAAGTGTTTGAAACTAATGGCTACTGTAAAACAAACCAGAAAGCTTTAGCCTGTCCATTTCTTATCCTGTACCTAATAATGCTGGCATCTTGCTCCAAGTCACAGGTCAGCCTGTAGACCAGCAGCCCAGGTTCCCCATGGCAGAACAACCCTTCCTGAGTTCTCTCGCAGAAGCGTTGTGGTGATGGTCTGCATAGGAGTTCGGCAGGTCTGTCGTTCAGTCCGTTCTGTCACAGTTACCTTCATCTGAAAACCACTGAGTTTAGGCGAGACTTCCCCTGTGCGGTGGTTAATTCGGGCATCTTGAGCATCATTTGAGTCTAAAACATACACTGGATGTCTCACGGAAAGCAAGGAGTATTATCTGTATTTACCTTCTGTTGAACAGCTGATGTGTTCTTAGCTAGGGGTCCATGCTGGCTCCTCAGACACGTTACTGCCCTTCCCCACATCAGCCCTAGGTTTGCAGTTCTCAGTCCAGTGCTTTGGCGAAAAGAGAGACATGTATTCTTTACATGTCTGAAAAGTGGGATACCAACGATTAGAATGACTTTGCACCTACACGTGAGACTAAGAAAGTGCAGGCTAAAGTACTGGGTCCTGTCCTGTAAATAATACTCCAAGAGAGTGTGGAAATACTGGAGAGAGTTGTAAGAGAAAGTCCCAAAAACTGACGTGGGTGTGATGGATGTATTTGTGGTGTGGGCATTAAGGTACTCAGGAAGGACTGATGTTTTCAGTACTTGCAGAGAAAGAAGTCTGGTCCTGCAAGGCTGTTCAGCGTAGCTGGCAGGGGCGTGAGAAGGTGCAGAGGCTGGGATCTCAAGTTACACAAAATTGAACACAATTTCTTAGTGGAAAAGGTAATTAAATATGGGAACACTTGTATGAAGCAGTAATGTGGACTAACCACTGCTCAAAGTCTTAACATTAAGTCAGTTACTTTTCCACAGACCCATGTGATCCGGCCTCTGGCAGAACGCCCCGCCTGCTACATCCAGGTGGGCAGGCCAGATGATGGTCACCCTCCTCCTTGGATGCTCAGTCCATGAATCTTTCAGCCATCCCAGTTTTTCTGTCATTTCATACGGAGTTTTTTTCAGGCGCGTGCTCGGTCTTGCTGTCCTTCCCTGTTTGGCGGTATCCTTGGGCAGTGGAATGACCGAGGCTGCACATGGTGATGACGTGGCGCCATGTGATGTGTACAAGGGCATCGGGATGTTGTGTTATTCCCTGCCCTGGTCCTTGACCATGGTGGTGTGCTGGGCAGAGGTCTTGTGCTATCTGCAATGATATCCAGGCCCTGTCTTGGTTGATACAGTTAAAGAGCCCCGTCAGGTGTTGGAGTAATGTCATTTTTTCCTACAATGTGCATTACTTCGCATTTATCAACACGGAACTTCATTTGCCAGTGAAGTGTCAGTTACTAAACTCCATTTGTCACTGCACAGACCTTGCACACAGTTGCTCCTTCCGCTGCCAGAAGCCTCTGGCACCAGAACTGGGAGCGGGAAAAACGCCTCCCCAGCGACCACAGTACTGCCGCGGCTGCGACGCGTGGCAGCGGGCTCTTGGCCTGCTCCAGTGCGGTGGCAGGGAGGGAGCAGTGGGACACCGTGTGAGGAGGAGCAGAGGGGGCACCGGTGATCGGCAATCACATGAGCAGTCCAACCTCTGTGTCTCCACCTTCAATCCAGTCTGTCCAAGTCCCTGTGCCCTTCTGCAGCTGGTAGATGGGTGCAGTGTCCACGGGCTCAGTGTTGTTGTCAGGCAGAGATGACAAGATCCTGCTGCTCCCAGGCTCACTGGGTCAGAGTGGTCCCATGCAGCGTCTTCCACATGGGGTATTGTACGGTGGGTTTTCTGGCTTTTTGTTTAGCTTTTCAAGAAGTTATCTTGTATTTATTTTTTATGTAATCTGCTGTATCAGAAAACTGATGCGATTGCAAGGTTGGGCTTCCAAAGGCTGAGTGGGTTCTGTCACCCTCCGGGTCACCCTGCATCAGCACCTCCTAGGGCAGCCAGGCTGCGGGAGCCGGCCACGGCCGCTGTGCGGAGGCAGCACGCGCCGAGAGGTTCGCAGCTGGGTCACGCTGCAGCCAGTCCGATGCTGCGGCAGCAAACAGCTGTACGCCGCATTTTGGGGAGAGGGGGGCGTCTCTGTCTGGAAAGGGTCCTTGTGCATCCCTGTGCTCAGTACGAATTGCGGAGCTGAATCACGTGCTCCTTTTCAGGTGGACGGTCCCCTGCCTGCCGTACGTCTGGTGGGCTCTGGGTCTCCCTGCCTGCAGTACCCTCCCTGGGTGACTCGGTTTGTCTCTCTCTTGCCCCCAGCGCTAGGACTGCTCCCGAGCAGCTCGGGGCGCCACGGCAGCTCATCCCCAGGACCAGGCAGCCCAGGGCAGATGCGGAGGAGTGACCCTGGGACTGACGCTTGGGTTGTCTGCTCTCTAGACACTCAAGGAGAGCGCTAGACTGGAGTCACACCCGGGTCACTGTCCTGCATGGCAGCCTGCATTAGAAACGGAAATAAGAGATAAGGAGCCTCTATGAGAGGTCCCATCCTGATGTCTTAATGGTCAGCGATTGGTTCCAGCTGTAAACCTGGGGCTAAACGTTACCCCACATCACAGGCATGACTGATGATTTAGTCACAGACTGGTGTCCGTAAGTATGTTTCATTCTTCCTTGAATCTCTTCTAGCCGCTTTTGAACAGTTACAGCTGTTTTTTTTCACAGCAGGATAATCTGAGAGTTTTGCTTTTGCATAGTCAACAGGGCTGCCGTGCTCTGTGGTAGAGCTGCCGTCGCTTGTGGTGCTCATCCCACTGTGGAGGGTGTACCATCTCAGGAGGAGCATGGGGGACAGCCCAGCAACCAGCTGTGCTCTCCATGAGCTCCTGCCGGTATGGGGAGCACGGCTGCTGGGACCCTGCAAAGCCTCCTGCCAGGCAACCTCAGCAGTTGCGCTGGGCCGGCACGGTGTCAGGCTCAGCCCTCCGTCGCAGCGTCCGTCGCGGGCACAAGCAGCAGCAGGGGAGTGCGGAGGAGCAGAGGGCTTGGGCTGCGGCCAGGCTGCCTTCAACTGCACCCAGCCCGATGCCTGCCTGCACAGGGCGCAAGTCTCAGGTTAGCATCCTGGGAAAGTTGGTGAGGTCTGGGGATAAATTGCCATCAGTTTATCTCATTTAGGAGGTAATCAGAGCCAGGGACGTGCGGAGCAATTGAATCTTAGTTGTTCTGAAGTATCATAAATCAAACGAGCTGTTGCTTTTTTACATGGTCGCATGTTAAAGAGAGCGCAGTGTCAGGTTGCTAGGGAGCATCAGCAAACTATGGCAAGCGTGGTATTGGGCTGCCGGGGATGTCACCAAACCGGAGAGTGCGGCTCAGCTGTCAGGGAGCACCCACGGGCTGGCAGCCGTGGTGTCAGGCTGTCAGGGGACGTCGCAGCAGCCCCGGGAAGAGCTCGTCACCGTGGTGGGGCTGCGGCGTCAGCCTGCAGAGACCATCAGGAAGGTCTGCCCAGCAAAGTGCTGCAGCCAGGAGTGCCCCATCCTGCCCCAGGCAAGCCCGGAGCCCCCACTGCCACCGAGCTGCCTCTGTGCCCAGGACCTCTGGCTCCTGTTTCGGGCAGGCGGGAGAGCCCCCCCCCCCAGCCACATCTGACGGCAGGAGCACCTTCGCGACGCTCCCTACGCCAGCATCCCCATGGCTGCCAGAGCTCCGGGGATAATGAACTTCTCATGTGCTTAAAGAGTGATGCAGGGTGCATGGCGAGAAGCTGACAGCCCCTTAATGTGCTTCTCAGTGGCGGCCAAACGACGCGGTTTTGTCTTTGTTTTTTAGTTTTAAAACCCACGGGAAATTGATGGCCAGTAAAGAGTTGTGTTGGGGCGATGTGCGTGATTAATACCAACTGTCAGGGGCTGTCGGAGGCCGATCTCGACGAACTGGGAGTGCGAGGCTGAGCTGCGTTTACCAGATTGCTGGGGATTCCAGCTGCTATTGCTCAGCTCCCGCCTGCCCCACGCCGCTTGTGTCACCCGTGCGCTCCCTTCCGCCAAGCCTCTTAATTCAGTGCTAACAAGTCACTCCTGCTCATTACAGACCGGGCGAGCTCCCTGCTCCAGCCTGGCAGGAGGAAAGCAGACGGTGCCTGGGCATCACCACGCCACGGCTGATCCCCCTCCCCCTCAGCTCCACACTGTCCTTGTTCTGTGCTTCCTGGGGGGACC